GGGTTTAGGGTTTAGGATCAGGGATCTTATAGTCTAGGGTCTCAGGGCTTTAGGGTTCGAAGGTTTAGGAGATCTCCTCTGAGTCATGAGATGTCATGAGCTTTTTTCGAAGATCTCCTGTCAGTTGTGAGCATTCAAGGAGGGCTATGGAGGGTCCTTTAGCCTTGGCATCCCTGCACCCCGATTTAAGTTTTACATTTTAGGACTTTGGGTTTAGGGTTGAGGGTACAGTTCAGGGTGTGGAGTTTGGGAAGCCAGAAGTACTATATACAAGAAATGTGTGTTTAGGGTTCAGGGTTTACCCAGGACCCACTTCGTGAGACTTACCTTGATGTTTTTCCCTGCGTCCAAAGAACCCAATAACAAGGTACTTGGTTTAGTTTAGTAGTTATGTTGGCAAATATTCGGGAGAGTATGTGACTATTGGGTGCTTGAGCCCTTAGGGTTAGTATGAAGAAACGCTTGCCGAAATTATTTGATACAGGCCGAAGGGTATAAGCATAAGCGGGGCCTATCGAATCTAAACTGTTGTTCCTTTCCTGGTGTATTTGTTTCTGGTCAGCGCCTCATAAACAGAAAATAGGGGCCAAATAAAGCCCTAAACGCTAGATCCTGAACCCTAAATGCAAGTCAAGCTCCGCTAAACCCAGAACCATCTGATAATTAGAGCCGTCCAAGAGGCCTGAACGAGACTTCAAATGAACATTTACAGTGCCACCTAAAGGAACCCTTACTTGGAGGGTCAGGCGACTATGTAAGTCGGTTATAAGTACAGATACATTTGGGGTACATCCATTTAAGGTGCTTATAACTCTACCAATAGGTTGCCCAGTAGAACCCTTTTGCCCTTTTTCTTGTTGGCTCCCCTTATCAAGACCGAATAGTAGGAAAACGGGTACCCTTCTTATTAAGGGGCTACTGGGGAACCTAGCACCCTAAACCCCTGAACCCTAAACCCTAAACCCCTAAAGCCCTAAACCCCTAAACCCCTAAACCCTACTTATAACCTACTTACGACGTCCCTTGGGCTTCTATAAGTATAGGGCTGCCGAAAGAACCCAAAACCCACTTTTTTGTAGGTTCTTATTATAAACCCTAATATGGGATTTGTAGGGACCCTACAAAAAAGAGTAGGTTTTGGGTTCTTAAGGCAGGGCTGCCGAAAGAATCCTTGCGCAGGGTCCGCAAGAGAGATCGGAGCGGGGAGCTCAACAGAGTGGCCCAAGTGGGAGTTTCCAAAAATTAGAGTTTAGGGTTTAGGGTTTAGGGTTTAGGGTTTATTGTTTAGGGTTTAGGGTTTAGGGTTTAGGGTGGGGTCCTTAGAATAAGGATTTTATTATTTAGGGTACTATATTTGGGTCCCCTATTTTCGGAAACTCCCAAGTAGATGAGAAGTCTAGGGTTCCTTTGCGTTACGGGCTTTGGGTTTAGGGTTTATAGGCTTTTGGGGTGCACAGGTTCCTTTGCGATGAGGGCTTAGGGTTTATAAGGGTTTATAGGCTTTTGGGGTGCACGGGTTGCTTTTGGAGAAGTCATGCACTCTTGGCAGGCTTTTTTGTTGGACTTCGCTTTCGGAGCTGTTGAGGGGTCTTGCGAGGAGTTTCGTCTCCTTGTGGTCGGGCTTCAGTATGTTACCCTATCCCTAAGGTCCTCAGGGTCCCACATACGATACTCGGAAGTTTGGGCATTTGGACCCTTAGGCCAAGGGGCGATGTATACTTTGGCATGCCAGAGTCAACGTATGCACCGTCTCGGTACATGGACCCATGTCATCTTTGGTAGAGCTTTGAGATGTCTAGGGACATGGGGCGGGCTGAACCGTTTTGAGTGTTAAGATGCTGCCATCTTGCGTCAGAGTTTCATGTACTGCAGTGGTGGGAATAGCTCGTAACTACATCTCCTAATAGTCCCTATATTATATAACCGTACCACAATGCGCTTGCCCTTGACCCCAAACCCTGTTCGAAGCCTTAAGGTCCCTATAAACGGGATAGAAGTTCGGCATGGATTCTTGAGACAGCGAGAAGTTTGAAGTCATATCGTCGTTGTTTTTTGTTTTAGGGCTTAGGGGTGAATGGATGGTGCGTATGGGTATACGAGTTCGGGATCGTGCCGCACCTGCGCGTGTAGCATGCGATTGAGCTTTGAACTCGGCACACAAAGGCTGCATGTACCTCTGTACCTATACAGTATAGACTTGGGCCTTAAAGTGCCCATACACTGTGGCACTCCATACCCTCAGCCCAAGGCATGTACTATGGTCTACGGGCCTCACAGAGAGTTCTGTTTGCCTTGTTCGGTTCCACAGCAAAGGACAAAGGCGCAGAGTGCAGTAACAAAGTAGAGCCTAGGGCCCAAGAATCGACCATGTATAGAACTATAAATTGCCTAATGTAGGGGCCTTAATAATTAGAATAGGGTTTGGGGGTATATTATACCATAATTATGTTTATCTGCTAGCAGCTGCCATTGCGCGAACGAAGCATTTGAGGCTTGTAACGACAAGTCTTTCTGCGGGGATATGCTTGGTGTCTGTGCAGATGTGCTGCTGTTAGTTCATTAGTTCTTCGTGTATACCGGATAACCTCGTGATTAGAGCATGTGATGTCCAAGTGGATTGCGCTGACCCCGCTTGATTCTTGAAGTATTCCTGTCGCCATGGCATCCAAGGGGTTCTGCAGCTTGGTGCTGTTCTTCTGTGCAACCACCGCCGCCACTGGAGAGAGCAACACAACCTCCTCCACGAATCCTAAGGTTCAGTGGCCAAGTTCCGCAGTAGTAGCCTTTGGCACTTTTCTTTTTTGGGTTCCCATAAACCCAAATAGTAGGAAAAAGGGTACAGTGATCAATAAGCGGCGACTGTTTCGAAGCCCGAAGCCCGAAACCCTATAGCAAACCTAAGCCCTATACCCTAAGCCCTAGGTGGTTTGTCTACTCGGAGTTTGATGGCACCACCTGTGAAGCGGAGACTGGGTTGTGGACTACCATACTTGAGTACATTTTTGGGGGTTTAGGGTTTAGGGGTTGCTTGAAGGAGCCATTATGCAAAAGAATATAAACTTCTTCCCCCTGGTTACTTCAAAGTGCAGGAAAGCTTAAACCACAATGAAGAGCTCTACCCGGCTGGCTACTGTGTGGACAGGTCCAGTGACGCACCCCTTTCTGCGATCCTTGGAGACCAAATTACCCCTACAAGAAGAGGCCCCGTATCCTTGTAATATGAACCCTTACATGGTATATGCGCCTTAAACCCTTTTCGCGTTCATTTCGTCCATAAGGATTGCAACCCCGGTCAACAGCACCACCTTCCAGTTCGACATATACTTGAGCAACGACTGCACCGGCAGCGTCATGGGGACTCTGGTTGCTAAGTTGCCCTTGGGATATTTTCGTTTTTTTTCCAAGGCATATGCCCAACCTGGACCCTCTAAAGCCTACCTTTGAACCCAAAGGGCCCAAGGTACCTTTATAGTAGAATGTAGGGTTTCTCTATGAGGGTTTGTTATCCAAACTACCTTTACAGTAGAATGTAGGGTTTCTATATTAGGATTTGTTATCACTATTTGGGAGAGTATCCCCCATAACAGTACCTAGGACCCTTTGGGGAAGGGTTCCTTATTATGACATGACATGACGGCTCCAGGACCGGCTATATGGAGAAACATAATTTGTGTTTCGGGCAAAGAAGCGGCCCCTGAACCTAGGGCCCTTACATAATCCCAAAATCTAAACCCTAAAGGCCCTAAAGTAGGGACCCAAACTTAGGATGCCTAGAGAGAGAGCCCCTAATAAAGACTCACGGTTTCTTAACCAGGTTCCTGCATTTCACCCATAAGAAAGTAGCTCTTTAAATTAAGGTCTCTTTTCACGTCTCAAGAATCGTACGGCACCCGTGTAAAGACGATCCTAAAGGGAACCTTAATGTTCAGAACTACCCAAAAGTTGTTCCTAGGTTGGGCCATCCAGTGCTTGTGACCCACTTTCGGCCCCCGACAAAAGCCTCCTCACCTCAGATACAAGGTTGTTCAATGGCACATGTTTTTAATGTATTTTTCTTGGTTTCTACACTAAGAAAGCTAGCCCTGAACATATATACTTTTTTCACATCCTAGGATGACACCATTGCGGCTGTCATCGACATGCGTGCTTGCATGGATGAGGAATTGGGAACAAGGCGCATGCTCTATCCGCTGGATACATGTATCAAGCTTGCAGGCATGGACTCGTATCCGGGGAAGTTCACCTGCATCGATGGACAGCTTCGCGTCCTTCCCTTCGATGACCCAGCCTGCACTGTGGAGGCGGCTGATGGTGCGTATGCAATTGCGGAGAAGCTCACGTTCGCAGAGCCGGGCACCTGCAAGACGGTGACGCTCCCATGGGGTGAGATGTCCATCGGGCTCTACAGTGCCGTCTGTTGAAGGGCGGGCAGTCAAATTTCGACCATCTCCAGCCGTAAATCCTGAACCCTGGCCCTGCAAGGCCTGAGCCGTTAAACTGCAAAGTCGATGGCCCCCAACTCCTGCAGTCCTATAAGTCCCTATATACCATATATCCGATACCCTCAAGTTAGGCTCCTTCAACCCCAAACCCTTCAAGCAAAAGTCTTGCTGGGATGGGGCTTTTCTTCAAGGCATCATTCAGCTACTCGAAGCGGTGGCTTGAGGTGCTGGCATGGGCTGGTGTGATAAAAAACAACAACAAGAAGTAACAAGTGGTAAGTAGTATAAGTAGTATAGGGGCTTCAATCATTACTTATACACAATTTGGGAGGTTCCTTCTTATAGTATTAAGGCCCCTAGATTAATCTTCTGTTTCGTGTTGTCGATATCAATCTCTCCGCCCGCAGCCACAGCACGCTCTACTCTAGATGCTTGGACTCGTGCGTCACTTTCGTGCGCACTTCCTTAAGGACGAAATGAACCCTGAAAGGGTTTAAGGTTCATATGCCATATAGGGATTTATAGTATAAGGGTATAGGGCCTCTACTTTTATGGGTCATTTGGTCCCTAAGGTTGTTCGCCGTGCCTAGTTGCGTGTGCCGCCCTCACACGCAGTGGTAGGCCTGTTTTCTTGCGCTTGATGGCTATTGTACGGCCCATGGAATTAGTTTGCCTGTTCTTTTCGTTGCCAGCACATGGCGTCGGCGACCGCAGACGTGAGGCACGACTGGACCTGTGCAAAAGCAGGCATGCTGACGAGACAAGAGACCTGAAGGGGTGATTCAGCTTTTCGAGGGTCCTCGCTGCGGTACTTTTCCTACACTGTTTGTGCATGTGTGTGTGTTATGGTTGAGATTGTGCCATATCGAAAAGGGTTTAGGGATGGCCAGAAAGGACCCAAGTATCCAATAATCATATACTCTCCCGTATTTTTACCTACATAACCATTATCCTAAACCCAAGTAATCCTTTGGACCCATGGGATGAGGGGTTGAAAGCTCAAAGGGTTCAGTGCCACGTCTAGAGCTGAAACAGAAGGAGTTTGGCATTCTTTCCCGGGGTGCAAGAACAGTTTACTCCTGAATAACTAGCATCATCATTCCTTGATGTTCCTTAGTCAATAGAGATCGCAGCAGATACCCCCCCGCAAAACAAAGCCAAGGCTCCTGCATGACACGGCGCCGGTACCATGCTTCTCATTGCTACGATTCTGTAAGTTTCCTCTCGTAGCATACCATACCCCTTAAGCTCTGTTCGAACTATCAAGCCCGTGAAAACATATCCCATCCGCTCTCCGGTCTGCCACCTGAAAGCCGCCTGCAGTTCAAAGGATCTCATCACGAGGTATGTTTGGGTCTAGGGTAGCACTCTTATACCTTATAGTCTCGTGACAGGTATGACACTGGACCGGAGGGAATACCATAAACCCTAAACCCTAAACCTATAAACCCTAAACAACCCCTAAGCTCTTAAACAGAATTTCCTCAAGCTGAAGCTGTCCTAAACCTTAAGTCTCGGATCAAGGTTTGGGGTTTAGGGTTTACGTCGAGCCGCCAAAACCTACCCTTTTCAGGGTTCCTTATCATGATTTCCATATATAGTTCGTGAAAAAAAGTAGGTTTTTTTGGGGTCCTTTTTAGTGACCCATTTAGGTTCCTTTTTATGGTCTCTTTTAGGGTCCCTTTGGTCTGTTTTAGGGTCGTTTTTAGGGTGCCGCAAGTAAGGTCTCCCTGAACCCTAAACCCTAAACTTGGATTTAGGGTTTAGGGTTTAGGGTTTAGGGTTTAGGGTTTAGGGTTTAGGGTTTAGGGTTTAGGGTTTAGGGTTTAGGGTTTAGGGTTTAGGGTTTAGGGTCAGGGTCTTTTCCTTTAAGCCCCTAAGATGTGCCTGAGGTCCCCGTCCCTCCCGGATTTCCAGAAGCTCTATCCCTCGCACGTCTTCGTGGCCAGTCCGAATCGACCTTTCTTTTCGGTTCAGGGGTTTGGGTTTAGGGTTAGGGGGGTTTAGGGTTTTAGGGTTAAGGAGGGTTTAGGCTTGGGGCTGTCCGGGACTTCGACTGCGGATTTCAGAGTTCTGAGTTTCTGCTGTAGCCTAGTAGCGGCTTGCGGTGTTTGCTGGGTTCAGGTTTTGGGGTTTAGAGTTCAGGTCCACGTGCTGGCAGCAGCTTCCCCACAGATCCCTGCGCCATCCAACTTATAAGTTTAGGTCTACTTAGAGGCCCAGGGGACTTATAGTAAGTAGGTTATAAGTGGAGTTACAAGTACCCTAAATGGATTTACCCCAATTATAACCCTACTTATCACCGACTTACTAAGTCCCCTGGGCCTCCAAGTAGGGTTAGCGGCTCGAAGTTCTCCACAAAGGTCGGAGGTGTAGTCGACCCAGGTTCCTGGTCACTAAAGCCTCTAGGGGCCTAAATAAATACCTATACTATTTTGGGGAGGTCCCTTCTTATAGTTATAGTATGACATACCCCAAAACCCTATTCTAATTATTAAGGCCCTTACATTATTCGCTAAGCTTTGCAGGCTATGTGGGTTACTAAACCCACTCCGTAAATTCAAGAGTATTGAACGGCCTAAACCCCAATTCCAAGGCCCAAATGGGTAGTTCTCTAAACTAGGGTCCCTTTAGAGGTACTGGTATCTGATATAAGGTCTTTTGGGGACCTAAAACGGGACCCAAACTTGGAGAACTGTTCAAATTCTAAACCTTAAACGGCCGCAGCCGGACGGTCGAACTCGCGTTCTTGAGCCTGCAGCAGACTCTTGGGGCCTTGTTAAAATGCTCGAAGCAGGCCCTTAAGGGAACCCTTCACCCAAAACCCTAAACCCCAAACCCTCATCCGAGTTCGGAAGCCACTGCCGAGGATGCTAACATCCAGCTCTCCCAGCTGGACGATGCGTCGAATCAATATCTGGTCCGCCCCGGTGAGTTTGGGCCTTTAAGGTTTATGGTTTAGGGGTTTAGGGTTTAGGGTGTAGGGTTTGGGGAGGGTTTAATGTAGAGGTGAGTTAGTCGTGATCTCCTCTGATAGTCCCCATATTACCAGAACATACAAGATGTACCCAACAAATCCTATTCTAATTATGCACGCCTCTCTCTACTGTCTGGTGCTTAGTAGGGAATGGGGGAATGGATCCCTATGATAGTCCCTTAAGGTCTCCCTATAACCCATTCCCCCATTTCCTACTAAGCACCAGGCACGAGACCCTAAACCCAAGACGACCCTAAACCCTAAACCCTCTAATAAGGTTCAGGGTTCCGTAGTGTTCGGGGTTGAGGGCTGCAGGATGACGGTTTTACGGCGTCCGAACTTTCGCAGAACACACCCTTAAGCCCCGAAGCCCTAAACGCCCTAAACCCACAGAAAGTAGGTTCGGGTGGGTTAAGGTGCATACTGGTTCAGGGTTTAGTGCAGAAGGCCTGGGTTGCGAGTTTAGAAGTGCTAGTTTGCTGAGTTTGCGGGTGAAGGGGTGCATCTAAACTTCCAATAACCTGTCCATCACGCCGTAAATTCGAGTCTCTTTCGGTGCCTCTGTGGCTTGTGGATTACGTTTTTTGTCGTGATGGGCTATGGGCGCGAATTCAACTTTGGTTTTTTGCGGGCTGTGGTGCATTGGCCTCAGGATTTCCGGTGTGGGGTCCAAGGAGCTGGGCATATAGTGCGTATAGAGATTTGAAACTGCTTCGTACATTAATGGGTGTTGCATCGCTGTACATGCAGACACAGATATACGCATAAAGATGGTCATGTTGTGTATGTTTATGTATACACCCATACATCGTGTATCATTGTATATTCTGATTTGAGCTGTGTCAACTTCCGACCTCCATCGTCCTGAAAAGCAGCAGTCCCACACTTTGCCAGGCCCGCATGTGGCAGTATCCCGAGCTGTCAACGCTGGCCAAAGTGAAGGTGTCCCAGCATCGCTGGGTCTCCGAATGGACGTGGCTGGACGACATGAAATACATGCACGGCATTAGTCTTCAGTCTCTTAGGTGCTTTATGCAGGTCGTTCCGGGGGGGTTTGTTGATCACGCCGCAGCCCAAAGCCCTAAACTCTAAAGTCAACAACCCCCAAAACCCTAGACCCTAAACCCTAAACCCAAAGCCCTAAACTCTAAAGTCAACAGCCCAAAACCCCCACCCTTAAACCCTAAACCCGAACCCTGTCGGGCTGATAACCCCCAAACTCTAAAACCCTAATATAGGGGCCTTAACAATTACCTATACTATACTATTTTTGGGGGGGTTCCTTATTATTATAATATGGGTAGTTCTCTAAATTAGGGTCCCTTTTAGGGGCCTTTTTTATAAGGGTGCCGTACTATATTGGGGACCTAAAAAGGGACCCTAGTTTAGAGAACTACCCACATCGTGGTCAGATCGCAGGTCAACGTGCAGCCGACCCTCGGATCGGCATTCTACCAGGCGATGGCTTCCGCTTCTTTGTTCGCTTGAGGAGGGTTTAGGGTTTAGGGTTTTAGATGCATTTTCGATGCCCACGGGTATAAACTCTAAATCCTAGACCTTACAAACCCTCAAAACATAGCCACTACATCGCTTTGGGCTCCTTTTTCGGTGTATTTGGGTTTATTCAGGGTTCGGAATTCGGTGTTTGGGGGGTCTACGGCATTCGGGTTGCAGGTTTTATACGTCTCAGGGGGGGGTGTTATTTAGGGTCTAGGGATCCAGGCTGTAATAAACGTCTGATCATATCTTTGGGGTGAGGGCTTTGGGTGTAGGGTTTAGGGTTTTGGATATCTTTGGGGTTAGGGCTGTGGGTTTAGGGTTTAGGGTGTAGGATATCTTTGGGGTTAGGGCTGTGGGTTTAGGGTTTAGGGTTTTGGATATCTTTGGGGTTAGGGCTGTGGGTTTAGGGTTTAGGGTTTTGGATATCTTTGGGGTTAGGGCTTAGCAGGATCGATGTCTTGGAACGAAGTTGTTCGTTCGCTCGGCTCCTTCAACCGCATAGATCTCCAACCCTAAGCCCTTGCAAGCCCTAAAGTCTCCAAAGTTCAGCGTTTCATGTGGTCGAATCGGGGGACATCGGGGGATCCTGGAGGTGCTCCTTCAAGTTTCGTTCAAGGAGGGGTTCCGGATTCGGGTTTAGGGTTTCTGGTGTCGGGCTCCCTGTTTACTTCTATAGAGTTTCTTGAGGTTCGAGGATTTCTACAGCGTTTACTTAGAGGCCCAGAAGACTAAGTAAGTAGGTTGAAAGTAGAGCCATACGTATCCTAATGGAATTACCCCAAGTATAACCCTGCTTATAAGCGACTCAGTAAGTTTGCTGGGCTTCCAAACCCCTAAACCTGAAACCCCAAAAAAGCCCTAAACCCTAAACCCCCAAAGCCCTAAACCCCCAAACACCCAAACCCTAAACCCTTGTAGTAGCCCTTATAGCACAATTTAAAGGAACCCTTCAAGTACAATTTATGTTTCGGGACTGCGGGGCTTGCAGGCCATGGCAGTCTCGTAGTGCCGCAGCACAGGACTGGAATTTCAAGAAGCGCTCAATGAGTTACTGGGATGACTTCGGGTATGGTTGCAGATGTGATAACCCCTGTTACAGGTAGGTTTATTAGTATACTAGGATAGAGCCGGCTAGACTAGAGTAGAATAGAGCATATTTAGCATCAAGTCCCTCCTGGCGAATTTGTGTGGAGGGATGCAGAGGTGAAGGGGTGGTGGCAAGCGACATCCTCAACTTTCCCCACGCAGGCGATGCGCGATCTCATGGACACGAACCTGAGCCAAGGGAACTGCCACCATTCGATCTCCCTGGGTCCATGTGCTCTTCCTTTGCCAGCAGTCACGAGGTGGAAATCGACTCCAGCTTCCACAAGGAAGATAAAATTGATCCGACATGACAGGCGATAGGCATGTGGTCCCGACAGTCGCTGTTGCGAATGTGGCAATTGTCCGGGTCAGTGACAGGGACACCAGCGGACACCAAAACGTGGTCGCGGCGCTGTCGTTTACGGGTAGTGTGCTGCCAGGTCCTCTAAGGATCCAAAACCCCAAGCTCCCAACCCCGAACCTTGAACCACAAAACTTAGATCCAAACCTAAGACAGCCACATAGATGCCGCCTTATGGTTCTCCCTGTAATTCTTATCGGGTTGCTGGACACGGCATCTTGAACTACCTGCTGGCCCGGCATCATTCCTCGACCCTGACATGTTGTTTAGGTGAATAAAGAAGCTTACGGTCAGGATAACAGGAATCTTAATGCAGGGTCCAGTTAAGTCATGTCGTAGCCAAACCCGCTCTTGAATCCACGAAACAAGCCACACACCCTAGCCCTCAACTCCCTCAAACCTTGCCCTAACTACCTAAATTCCTAGACGCTCCCCCCCAAAGGTTGAGCTACCTAGTAACCGTATACTTTCTCACATAATCAGCAACATAAGTAAAACCAACTACCTAAGTACCTAAGTATTGACTTTCTGGGACCCCTAGATGCTAAATCCTCCTCGATGCCAGGTCTTGTACAAACTCCGAAAGCAGAGCCGGGAAAAGTACGGCTGGGGCCCCAGTTTTGGTCAGGCGGCTACGTTAAATTACTACTAAAGCACAATCGATGCCATTCTATTCTGGAAGAATTGTGTTAGCCTTGCCCTAATGCTTATAGCTTCAGGGCTCCAGAAGGTTTACTGTTCATGGCTGAGGGCTTAAGTTAAAGGTTTGTTTCGGGCTATAGGCACCAGAGCACCCCAAAGGTACCTGTCAATGTTGGCCTTTTTGGTTCTGAAGAGTGAGTGTTAGAGCACTACCCAGCCTGGGTCCTTCAAGGGTATACTCATGTTGTGTGTGATTTCCGATTGGTAAATCCTAAACCCAAACCCCCTGAACTCACTCACTCACTCAGCGCACAGTGGTCCGAAGGTCCAGAGCGAAACATCTAAACATGCAGCCCAAAAATCGCGCTATGCGACAGGCAGGAAAGCAAACAAGAGGGCGATCGAGAGAGACTCTAGACCTGCGACCTCGAATGGTAGACAACAGTGGGCTGGAGCAAAGCACCATGGTTTGCTACAACAGCCTTATCGGCTATGAAGGACGAGACGAGCTTATGTCGCCAGATCCGTGGGGGGCACGCAGGGTGCGATGCGACAAAGATGCATCCTGTACAAGCACGGAGATGAAAAAAGGAAGCTGAGGGTAGCAGCTTCCGGATAAGAAGAGAGCCCTGCTCACTCGGGTATCCTGGAATCCACAGAAGGCCGCCCTGCGAAACACAATGGCAGACTTGCCGGAAAGCAACTGTATTTGCGATCAGGGCCTGACGGCGACCAAGACTTGCCCGTGGGCCATGTACGCTGGCCCGTATGAGGGACTGTGCTCTGCGAGCCAGGTGGCTCCACGGATCGGCGATGTTGGCGGCTGCTGACCACAGCGGCCAGTATCGGTGCCAGGATTTTGGAAGCCCCCAGAGAACTCCTTGCGAGAAAAGCCCTGACCACAAGGGGGAGGGCAAGACGTGTGCAGATGGGTCCTCGGCATCGGCAATATCGCGCCAGACAGTTGTGCTGTCATGCGGCTCTTCGGCGCTCAGACTTTGAGAGACATGCTCCACTTGGCCTGCAGAGACAGGGCCCGGAGCGGCAATGGTGGCCCTAGCAGCCTGCACATGCCTAGGCCAACTGAATACGTCAGTCGAGCCAGTCGCGGCTTCAAGCTCGTGGCGCAGTTCCTCGTCGGTGGGCTGTCGTTGTTCCGCAGCGGCAGTTCTTTGCACTCGGGTAGCATTCAGAGGACCCGGAAGACGAAGAGGGGGAAGGCCACGATGACCTCGAGCTCCAGTGCGCTTAGACCCAGTCCCGTATTCATAAATTTCA